CTTTGAAGTTTAATTTATTGGCTGATCAGGAAATGCAGTCTAAAGAGAGAAGCACATTAAGCATCATTATAGAACCATTGACTAGATCTAGATTGTTAAAAATAGAACCAGTTTCTTCAACAAAATAATCACATGAAAAAGCAAACCAAGGGTAGGGGCTGCAATTACAGAAAACAAGAAATTTAAGAGAGAAAACAAAACAATGTAAATAGTTACTCTTGTTTAGGCTTTAATTTTTTAAAAATGTCTTTGAAAATTTTAATTTGAATGATGTACTTTTAAATATGAAGATTATTAAGTTTATTTGTCCCAGTAAAATAGTGCCTTCCTAGTTAGAAATTCATGCTGGGTGTTGGCACTGTGGTTTAACAGGCAAAGCCTTCATCTGTAAAACCGGGATCCAATCTAGCTTCTTGCTGATGGTCTGTGAAAGGTAGCGGACATTGAACTAAACACTTGGGCCCCTGCCACCCACGTGGGAGACCAGATGAAGCTTCTGACTCTGAGCCAGTGTGAACACTTGGAAAGGAAGCACTTGATGAAGACCTCTTGCTGTCTTCTTTTCTCTCCCTCTTTCTTACTCTCTCTCTCTCTCTCTCTATTGTCTTTCCCTCTCTTACTTTGTTCCTTCTTCCTTGACAATAATTTGCACTTTCACAAAATAGTCTTGCCCTGCAAATAATACTTAAAGATGTTCTCTTGACAAAGAAGAAGAAAAGCACCCACCAAAACTAGAGGTAAAAGTGAAGAACATCCCAGTAAAATAACAACAGAAGACTAAATCAATAAACAACCCATTGCTAAAATGGCAGGAGCAAATTATCACCCATACATAATAACCCTGAATGTAAAGGGCTTAAACTCATCTATCAAACATCATAGATTAGTAGAGTGGATCAAAAAACAAAACCCATCTATTTGTTGCCTATAGGAGATATATCTCACCAACAAAGATCAGCAGAAATTATATCTCATGGATTTTGATGTTTTTTAGTTTCATCTCTTCAAAACACTTCTGATTAAATTCTTCAATGACTCATAGATCATACAGCAGCATTATTTTCTTCAAGAAGGTTGATTTTCATTTCTTCGGGGACACATTAGTCATTCAGTAGCATATTATTTAACTTCATGTTGTTGCCAATTTCTTTTTTCTTCCTGTTGTTGATTTTGTTGTGTGGCTTTTCATTTAAGGGGATGTATAATAACTGTGTAATGGAGACTATCATATCTAGTGGCATGTTATTTAATTACATGGCATTGTAAATTTGTATTTTTCTTCCTGTTGTTGATTTTGTATTGTGGTTTTTCATTTAAGGGGCTGTATAGTAACTGTGTAATGGGGACTGTTATATCCAGATGTGAGGATACAATGCAGTATGCATTTCTACTTCCAGAAAAAGATGGACTTACAATGAAACTGTTTACTATATCTTGACAATAGGATGCTGGACTCTCTGTCATTGTCCATGCCCACAATGAAGGACATATGGCTGTGTATGAAGAACTATACTATGGCAATAATATAGGGAAACCAGTAAGAAAGGAGGGAATTAGAGAGGGAATAAGGGAAATCTCAGGAGCAATAGGACTGTATCATAAAATGATAATAACAGTAATAATAAAAAGAAGTAAATTTTTTAAAAAGTCTTTTAATGAATAGAGAAAACTCCATGCCTCAATAAGGAGCAATTTAATGACTGTACCTCAGCTTTGCTTTTTAAAACCTTGCCCATTTCAAAGGATAAAGTGCAGAGTGGTAAGTGAGGTGAGCTTGTTAACATGCATGTAGCAATGTGATCTGACAGGGGATGTACTGTGCTACTTTTCCAACTTTTATATTTAATTTTTCTTAATAATGCATTAAAATGTAAGTCTCACCTTTTACTACAGAAAACAAAAAGGAGCACTCATGTTCCTTGTTCAATACACTCTTGGATTTAGTTCTGAAAGTGGTTTGCATGGAGGTTGTGTGTATATGTATGCATAAAAGTACATAGTTTGTGTCAGTATTTAGCACAGACAATTTTAGTATCACTGCTTCATTTCATACTTATTTTTTGGCTTCAAAGTATTTTTTTTAAATATTGCAAAAGTCTATAATGAATTAAATGACACAAATCTTTATCTGTTCTTACTGTTCATTTTTGCTACCTACTTTCATTGAATTCTTGGAAATTAGTAGCAATTCTAGGAAAAAAGTAAATTCCCAGTGTTATATGGAAGAATTAAGGAGAAAAAGTTAACTTCGGATAACTGAGAATACTGGTGGATGGATAGTTCCATGTGACCAAAGAAGGTTGGCAACTCTCTGAAGAAGTGACTTTGAAGGGTTCTGCAAGGAAGGGTCTTAGATTAGCCTAAAAAGCTGATTTTCATCTGGGACACCTGGAGTGAGGCCAAGGTGCTACGTTCCTCATCAATGCCACAAAACCTCAGACATTTCCAGTCCATGACTTTGAATAGCAAGATTCTTTTGATTCATTACAAATTTCTTATTGGATAAAATATTTTCAGTTGAGCTCTATTAGAAAATATATTTACTACTCATGTTGCACTGTACATTTAACCCCTGAGTTCTCAGGACATTTTCTAAAGCAATCGTAACATGCTGTCTTGACTGAATTTCAACCCCTCCAACCAGAACTTGCTTCGCCAGTATTTCTTCATGCCACCTGCCTTCTAACCGATACATTGAGAATTTTCCTGGGTCCCTAAATGCAGAGGCCAATTTGAGCCACTTCTTCCTTTTCCTTATTGATAAGTAACAAACCCATATGGTTCTCAAAGACCAGAATCAGTGTTTTTGAGAGACATGGCCAGCAGATCCTGGCCATTTAGTAACACCATCGATTGGCAGGTTATTTTTCTCTTCCACACTTTGGTCGTGGATAGCAATGTGGAACATCTGACTCCTAAAGGGCTTTGTCCTTGGAGCCTCTGACTGCTTGTCCTCCAGCTCCATCTTATCATCCTTGAACTTGGGATGGGACTTTCTCTGCCAAATTTTGGTTTTAATATTTCCATTTTTAAAAGTCCTGAAATTATTGTATTTCCAAATGATTCCTATTTTACATATGCCAAATAAGTAAAATCAGATAAGACCACCAAATAACACACGGCCTATCAATTTTAGCTTGATAAAATGATAAGTTTATGTCAAAGAGTAACTTACACATGAAAACAAATCAGTTCACTAATGCCAGACTACAAGAATTTACCACAACTTAATAATAAGGCAGTAGTATGCTGCCAAAGATGAGCTAGCAAAGACTTTTAAATTTATTTCCTTTAAATAATGAAAGAGTAAAAGAGTTCTATGGCAAACCATGTCCACACAAAGCGGTTTCTTCAATACAGCAGGCCTTTTTGACATGTTTCTCTGATGCATTTATGTATATGCACATATATGTACACATATACACACATGATTGGTATGTTTTTTATGCAGAACATGTACTTTTTTACACATACATGTGCATCCAAGTGTAGGTATATCTGAGCATAGTTGTGTATTTCATGACAAATCTAGCCTCTTGGCCTTTTCCATTTTGTACTCTGAGCGTCTGTGAATGGAAGGCATTCTCTTAGACCATCCCTGCTGGTGCAGGGCACAGGACTTTCCTGGTCATAGCAACCACTCTGGCTTTTACCTGAGAGATGCCTCCTAGAAGTCGACCTGTAGGTTTGGCACAGCCATCTGCTTCCCATTTCATCCTGTGCAGAGTGCGGGTTTCCATTTCAACTTTCCATCCACTGGATCCAGTTGATGGCATTTGCGGTAGCTGCGACCCATAGTGATGAGGATCGTGGAAAATGATGGGCTCGTTAAGCACATCTCATTTTAGACAAACTGCAAGTGGCATTTTGTTTATATGGTTCATTTCGCCAACAAATTAGATTTCAAATTGATTGCTTTTTAAAATGGCTTTGTTCATCAATTCTGAGACCAGGCAATTACAATCAGAATCCTAGTAATTAATGGTCTCCTCTATTTAAAATGTTTTTTAAACAGCAGGGAAGTCATGAACTTCAATAGGATGTAAAGTCAATTCTTGGCTTTTCCTCTCCCTCAAGCACTGCACAGTGTAGGCATGAAATAAAGGTCTTTGCATGAATTTACTTTGAAGAAAATATTAATAGCGCCAAAAAAAGCTATGTGAGGGACTGAGATCCTGTTATCCTGGAGTAACCAAAAGCCTAGCACAGCACTAGCAACAAGCTGGACACACTGGACCAACGGATTCCCGGTGTTAAATTATGAATGAATATTTCACTCAAAAAAGCAGCTTATACCATATGGTGTTTCTTTTCCTTTTTAAATGAGTATACAAGGTACGTAATTTAGCAGTATTAGCTCATTCTTTAATTTCATCTTTAAAAATAAGACTGTTTTGTGCCGCCTGTCTGAGTTCAAATTAGAAACCGATGAAAAATAATGAGGAAACTTGGGGATTTTCTCCTTTGTTTGACTCCAGCTTTCAGTATTTAGTTGCAGATTTTCACTATCCTGTGTGACAGAATGCTTCTGGGTCTTTCTGGAATCATGATTGGGGTCAGATCCCATCCCCAATGCAAACACCCCGATGCGATTTTCATCATTTTCACAATCTGTATTTTTAAAATGAAACATAAATGCAGATAATCACATAGATCAACTGGAGCATTATCATTATGTTGTTAATATAAATCACTCAGAGCCAGAAACAGCCTTTCCCACCTTACTCTTGGGCTTCGTCTCTATCATAGCTTCTCTGTACTCACGTTTCCCTGAGGAACCACTATGCTGATTTTAGAGCAAGCATTCCTCTCTTCCTTGTCCTCTGAAAAATCGTACACAAGTAAGTACATCTAGACTTGGTTTCAGCCATTTCTACAGGAACTGGAAAAGGTTTACTACTCCAAATTCTTCTTTACTAGCCCATAATGCTCAGATGGTTCAGCCCCCAGGCCTACTGCTGTGAGTATGGACACAGCTCTGCACAGGAAACATTTTTTTTTAGGGGAGAGTGCGAATGTTGTTCCCCACTACCACAAATTATGCAGTCGAGTGTCCCACATTTGGGGAAACCCCGGGGTCAGCACATCCGGATTGCAACAGAGGAGTCTTACCCTAGGAAAACCATCTTCGTGATCATGGTATCGTGCCTGCACAGAGGGCATGTTCAGCCACACCCCTTCCCTAGAGAACAGCAGGCACAGAGGTCAGACCCTGAGGTTTTCATAATGCATAAAAGAAGAGCTTAGTGAATCCAACCTTGATTGCCCACACTGTGAAGGAGATATCCCCTCACCCTAGCTAGTCACTAGAAGCACTAGGAACACCAGAGCTTCACTCTAAGTTCCCTACAGGCTCACTTCATAGTTTCCAGGCTCCTCCACTTGGGTTTGTTGTCTCAATGATGGCTCTACAGGACAGTATGACATCCCATAAACTACTTTGAGATCTGGAATTTTCCATCTGAAAAAAGCTAACTTAAACTGAACTCAAACCTCTGTCTGCATTGTAAAGATTGAAAAATCAAATTCAAACAAAGTAATTTTCTGTGGAACCAATTACAGGAATTCAGACCTCTTGATTCTGCTGAATTTTTTGTTTCAAAGCAATGCAAGTAGATTGTTTCCAGAAGCATTGCACATATCATCCTGCTTTATGGATCCAAAACCTTGCAGTGGTTTCTCACACTTACTGAACAACATCCAACAGTCTCCATCAGGCCTGTTTATCCAGCACTAGTCCTCTGCCACCGCTTGGAGATGAGACATTCTTTCTACCACAGGCCTCTTTTCAAAAAGCCTCCTGCCTATGAAATGAGAAGTTCCTGGGGGAGATGAGCAGCCGATGTGACTGGAAAACTACAGCCTGCTGGGGCTCAGGTGGAGGTGGGATGTTGGGATCTTTTGAGACCGGTAGTACTGGGGAATCTTGAGAAGAGCATCAGAATGAGATTGAAGACAGGGATAAATGGTTTTTTTTTTTTAAAAAAGCCAATCTGTTAGGTTTGGGGGTAAGGAATGTCATGAACTTTTCTGGTATCTTTCAAGTTATATCCAGAAAAAGTCCATTTTTTACTTAAATATTGTGGGAATAAGTATTTTGAGAATGTATCAAAGACTAGAGCATTGGTTCAACTTTGATCCTCCAGGCAAAGGCTTCCCATGGGCCTACGAACAGTTACCAACCACACACAGACCTCTTCTATTTATGTTCTTCACTGCTTAAAAGTGTTCTTTTCTTTTTTTTATTTTTTAAAACAATACTTTTTAAAATTTTCACCAACTTGAAAGACAGAGAGAAGAGAAAGAAATAGAGGGAGATCTCCCAATCGCTGATTCACTGCCCCCAAATGTCCCACCCCCAACAGTCAGGGCTTGTCTAAATTGAACTCAGGAAATTTCATCCTGATCTCCCACACATGTGGCAGGAATCCAAACACATATGCCGTTATCTGCCTCTTTCAAGGATCTGAAAGGTGTTTCGAATCTGCACTCTGGTATACTATGAGAGCTTCCCAACAGGTCACTTAGCCAATTACACTACAACAGTTAACTGTTTCTGTTCAAAGAACCAGGTAAGTAATAAGGGACCAATCCAAGACAATCTATACCAAATGTAAAACTCTTAGCTAATCAGCTACTTTACATCATGAAACCTTCTCAAACCAGGAGACTTGGAACCTCAGAGTATGGCATCGCCTGTTTAAGGAGGAGGGTGATTTTTTTTTTTATTTGTACTTCCAGTATTACTCACTGAGAAGTGTTTACAGAGTGTTTATATTTACTACTGGAATGTATCACATCTCATAGCAAATGATACTTCCCCAAGTTGAATTTGGGACTGTATGAGAAAAACGGCAGCTGACCATAGGAAAAGTCTGAAAATGACAAGAGACTGCAAAATGTGAACTTCCGTGTGGGTTCATTCCTTCATGCCGCTGATTTGAAATAAAAGTATCCAGGTAAATAATCAGTATGGTTTGAACAGAGTTAGACTGTAAAGCCTTTCCCTCCCAAACCTTAGAGTTTATAATTGTTTTATTTTTAATACAATCCAAGGAAGAAAACAAATAATAAATAAATGGCCTTGGATCATGATAATTGCACACACACCCTAATAGCAGTGTACATAGAATGATAAAAAAAAATTAGGCACATCTTAATAATGTCATTCATTTAAAATACAGCAATCCTGATCATTTAAATTCAAAATGACAAAATCTGAGTATTTTATTGGAAACCATTTTCTGACAGGTGGTTCTTAATTTTCCTCCGTAGCATACGTTTCTTTCTTTCATTGCCAACCAAAATTTGTACTTTCTTTTCAAATTAATGCATCCATTTGTATTCAAAAGACAACCTCTTACATGAGTAAATTAAATACTTACAACATTGAATTGGCTTAATGTACATTTGAGTTCCCTCCATTGGGCTTTTAAGATTTCTAAAAAGGGAATTTGAATTAAATTGTGTGAGAAATAGACAAATATCCCTTTCATTCATGACAAATTAATCTAAGCATCTTACTGATAATCTAAATGTAACATCTGGACTTGATGCTATCAACGGGAAACTCGTCATAGAAAATAAACTATGTAGATTAAGGCAGCTAATGCAGTGTATAAACTAAAATTTCTGCTATGACTCACAATTATGCCTTCTCGTTCTAAGTGAACATTAGACAGATATTTTTGACAGATATTCATTGTATAACTCATATCTTGGCATTTGACACAAAATATTTCCAATAAATATTCATGAGAGACCTTCAACATTTTCATGGAAAATTAAAGTTAAAAGATAAGTTCATTGTGGTACAAAAATGTTTGAGATGGATGCATAATTTTTTCATGATGTACACTTGACTTGAACTTTTTGGAGCTAAGAAAAATCAGCCTTCCAAACAGTACATTCATAATACGTTATTATTTTCCCCAGTCATAAAAAAATAAACCTTGCTTTGGTCTCCATGATAATACGCTGTTTTAGCTTCCCCATGAAACATTAACCACCAGCTTGAATTTTGGATCTATAGCAAATGGCCCCATAACCAATGATCCCTCTAAAGCAATGTTATCCAAAAGAAATAAATGTCAGCTTTCTATCCTGGCCTCACATGCACTTTAAATGTTGCAGAAAGAAGAGAAACAACAACAGCAAAAACAGGTGAATGCAATTTTAATAAATATTTTATTTAACCTAATATGTGCAAAACACATTTGTTATGACAAAAGATATGTTACATTTTCCTTTCCAATTTTTGGAACAAGTCTTTGAAATCCAGCGTGTATTTCTTAGAACACATCTCAGTTTGGGCCAGCCACTTCCAAGTGCTCAGGGGGTTCCTGAGGCTCATGACTGCTCCCAATCCCAGCTTCATCACAAACTAACCAACCAACCAAGACAGCCAAGGGTTATTCTAGTGGGAAGACTAGCTTTCCTATGTTTCTTTTCTAATGCCCTTTTCCTACTTATTTTGTCCTTTTCCTATTGTAGTTAATTAAAATAGTCATGTATATGGTAGTATCATATCAGCCTTAAAAAGGAAGAAACAACTCCAGCAAGGTATCAAAATCTCCAGGCAGCACAATGAATGGAAACAAAATTAGTCTAGACTTTCAGGATCCAAACTCAAACTTCAGGGAACAGAGAAAACTTTTTCTCAACCTCCTGATTTTAATCCTGTGAACTATAAATGGCCTAGCTGTAAAAGTGGTCCCTGTTTTTCTTTTTTTCTGGTAAAGAGGATTTTTTTTTTGTTTGTTTATTTTTAGTTTGGGAGTTTTGTTTGTTTTTGATTTTTAATCCTGACAAGAAATCTGGTGAAGCCCTCTCCAACACTATTGTTACCCTATAAATAAATAAGATTAATATTCTTACAGATACCCTGGTTGTATATGCACTTCCTGATTCTTGTAACCTGCAAATACAACAGGAAAGTAAAATCTATTCAATTAAAGTATGTACTGTGGTTAAGGGAGCCCAAATTGCCCTTTGAAATTCTCTGAACAGTCGACACAATTCTGTGTAAGTTGGGTTAGTTGGGAATACATTTAGAATTCAAGAGATTTCAGCACAATTTAATTTTTACTCTGAAAAATCAGGTTGGTGTACCGAAAGCTCTGATTGTATGAACCCATATTCCAACTCATTCTTTGATTTGACCCATGGAATGTTTTGGAGTCGCAGGCACCCCTTGCTAGTTGTGTCTGTGTTCCTGGATTTGGAGTTCCAAGATGGCTAGGCACAGAGAAAACCTTTGCCAATTTCTTCCTCTGTTCACTGCTCAGCAGCAGTCTGCCTCCTACTGCTGGCCTGCTAACCTCAACGCAATGACACTGATGACTGGGTCTGCTGTGATTATTTTTCCACGGTTGCCAAAGTGCACTTGAAACAAAGTCAAGATTAATCTCCTCCACGGAATTTATTCAAGAATCAAAATCCATGCTGTTATTGAATTATATGTGAAATGAAGCACTAACTCAACAAAAAAGCCTATCTCTGTATCAGTTTTTTATGCAAACGCTTATTGTAGTGGATGGTGACTATTGAGTTTGAGTCCAGCAATTCAATAATACAGTTCTTGGTAAATTTCCTTGAGAACTCTGCTTTATGAACCTCACATTTTGTTCTTAAGTCCTCAAATTATTTCTCTAGTGAAGTTGGAGGGAAAAAAAAACTTCATTATCAATTCGTATCTCCTTTTTGTCAGGCTGCCTATATTACTTTTCTAGGGCTGCCATAACAAATTACCCAAAACTGGGTGTCTTGTAACCATGGTAATTTATTCTGAGATCTGGAGGCCAGATGTCTGAAATCATGGTGTGTTTAGAGTCACACTTCTTCCAGGATCTTCAAGGGAAATTACAGCAAATGCATCTTCCAGCTTAAATTGACTGCTGGGAAAGATATTTGCATATAGACACTGGAGTGAAAAACACTTGGATTCAAATCCCAACTTCATTATAGACTAGTAGTGTGGACTTAGGGGATTCGTGTCCCTGTGCCTTAGTTTCTTTCCTATAAATTAAGTTTAATAAAAGTAATATCATAGGCTTGTTTGCAAATATAAAGGGTGGCGCCTTTATGTCACTCAGCACAGACATGCCTCCCCCAATAGAAAACTCAAGCAAACATTCACAGTTTTATAACTAGGGCTAGAATCT